CCCCCCCCCCCCCCCCCCCCCCCCCCCGACAAAGCCATCATCAGGACCTGTTGGCTCAATTTTCCAACATGAATCTCAAGTTCGCTCACTTCCCTCCCCCTCCGCTGCTGCCCACTGTCAACCCCATGCCTCCTCTGGTATTTCAACAGCCTGTAGACTGGTTGACTTCTCTCTGTTCACTCTTCCCTCAGGGAGAACAAACCAGAACACTCGGATCCACCACTTAAAACCCTCCAACGGCTTCCCGTGATGTCTAGTGAATTATGAACTTCTAGCCCTGTCCACCTCCCCACCTCAGCTCTTGCCGCGACCTTCCTCCCTTGGCACATGCCACCCTTTGCACACACCTGTGCCTATGACACGCTTGCCCTCGCACTTGAACCGGCCGACTTCTCCTATCTCCCGGGTCTCAGCTGAGAAAACACTTCCCCTGGGAAGGGAACTCCCACGGCCTTTTGACCATCTCCCATCACCGCATCAATCTCACTGCACTGGAGGTGTCTCTTTGTCCGCCTCCCCTACAAGGCCGTGAAGCTAGAGATCATTGATCTTGGTCACAGTTGTCACCAGAGTATACAGTAGGTGTTCCATAAATATTTATCGGCTAAATGGATGGAAGAAAACCTTTCCACCTGTGAACATGCCGGGGCTCAGCACTGTCTGCCATTTCCCCTGCTATTGGCTTGAGCTCCAGCTTTATCCTGTGTTCCTCCAATAAGGCTTTGTGTAGCTGGGCTTCTGGGCCTGAGCTAAGCTGTGAAAAGGGGCCACAGTGGAGGAGGCAGGACCGCTGGCTTCTTGTCCAGCTTGCCCCTCCTCTCACGCAGACCCAGATCTGCCTCGCTCCAAACCTGCTGGCTCTGGTCCTGGACAGGGTCTCCGAGTCCTACTTCCCCTCTGATCCTGGACATCCCTGAAGGAAGCCTGATGGTTGCCTTTAAATACATATTATTTTAATGTATTCTTTTGAATAGGCAGGATATGTGCACGGTACAAAATTCAAAAGGTACAAAGGATGGAAAGTAAGTCTTTCCTATTCCTGTCCAAACCTCCCTCACAGCAATCTCAGAGGTCAATGTAGTTACCACTTTCTTGGGCAGCCTTCCAGAGATAAGTTAGGCACACATAAACAAACATATATGAACTCTCTTCTCCTCATTCTGTACGTGCTGCCTTGCACCTTACTTTGTTAACCTGAGACCGCATGATGACTCTACAAGTACAGGCACAGGGGCCTCTTTCTTTGTCCTGGCTGCATACTATTTCATCGTATGAAATTGTGTCATCCCTGATTGAATGAATTCCCTGCCTGTGGACACTTAGGTTGCTTCCAGTCTTTTGCTGTTGTAAACGCGCTGTGGTTAATAATCCTGAACTCCAACGGTTTTGCTCATGGGCCAGCATGAGGATAAATTCTAGGATTTATCTATAGGATAAAATTCTAGAAGCGGAATCTCTGGGTGGAAGAGTGTGTATTCGTCATCTTGGTATCCACCGTCAGAATGGCCTCCGCAGAGGGGGGTGCCCATTTACCCACAGCGTTGCACACGTTGTGTGTTAACAGATGCTTTGAGTTTTGTCATCTGGTAGGTGCTAAGTGCTATCTCAGTGTGGTTTGACTTTGCTTTTCTCTCATTAAAAAAAAAATCGTGCATTAAAAAAATACACATAACGGTATTTCTTTCTTTCTTTCTTTCTTTCTTTCTTTCTTTCTTTCTTTTTTGAAGTAGACTCCATGCGCAGCATGGGGCTCAATCTCACGACCCTGAGATCA